GTTTACCTATGTTCTTCGGGACATATGGATTGTTTACCTATGTTATTCGGGACATATGGACTGTTTACCTATGTTCTTCGGGACATATGGACTGTTTACCTATGTTCTTCGGGACATATGGATTGTTTACCTAGGTTCTTCGGAATCTATGGACTGGTCCTTCGGAACGAATACTGAACTAAGGTTCGGTGCCCCATGAGGGAATTGATACGAGCTGTGGTGACAGCATTAGTGCACAACCTCAATGTACTCATATACCTTAAGTTCTCAATAGTGTACATGGGCTAATAAAGAGATCAAATAAACATATTGAATGTGATATGCATACGATGGGTTTATAAATGATTATCAAAGGTAAGCGGTTTGAAATGTGTTACATGAACCATATGATGTTATGTGTGTTTCTTAATGATAATGATGGTATATGTTTATGTATGATTTATGTTATATGAAATACTATATGTTTTATATGCCTCACTAAGTCAACGACTTAGCGTGTGATTGTTTCACACGTAGATTTCGAGAAGAGTAAAGAGTAATGCGGAGCAAGACAGGTCAGTTCTCCTTACCAAATGTCAGATCAGAAAATATATGTACTGTATATAGAGTGTAGTTGGCGTGTAGTCTAAAGATATAAATTGTATGAACTCTGATATATTTTGTAAACGTTTTGAATAAGTTAAATGTTATAAAAGTTTTTAAATTACTCACTATTTCATACGAATAAATGTTTGAAAAGTCAATGTGACACTTCGGACTCGTATCCGGGTCGGATACGGGTTGGGGGTGTTACATACAAACAAGTTTTATTATTGGTTGTGGTCCAAGATGGAAACCACAATATTCTTCCTGTTGCGTTTGCCCTCGTTCAAGGAGAAGACACTGAGTCTTGAGCTTTTTTCCTTAAAAATTTACGTTTACATGTTGTCACCAGAGAACGAGTATGCATTATTTCAGACCGAGGAGCCGGGATAAAAGCAGCAATGGACTCTTTGGGTACAATGTATAGACCTCCACATGTTCAACATCGTTATTGTGTCCGTCATATTGCTGCAAACTATTACAGAAATTACAAGAAGAACGATGAACGTCAGTTAGTCGTGCGGATGAGTATGTTACTTTTTCCCAATTTTTCTATCAATTTCTTATTACTTATTTATACTTCATATTAACTATTACATATTCCTAATGGCTTAGGTTACGAACTCTTACCTCAAAGTCCACATGTTCAACATCGTTTTGTGTCCGTCATATTGCTGCAAACTATACAGAATTACAAGAAGAACGATGAACGTCAGTTAGTCGTGCGGATGAGTATTTACTTTTTCCCAATTTTTCTATCAATTTTCTTATTACTTTTTACTTCATATTAACTATTACATATTCCTAATGGCTTAGGTTACGAACTCTTACCTCAAGGTTGAGTCGATCTACAAGAGCTGTTTGGCAAAAATAAGAAGGGGTGCGAGTACATTATGGACATCAGCAAAGAAATGTGGACAAATGCATATAACGGGGGGTATCACTATGGTCATATGACAACAAACTTGGCTGAAGCAATAAATTCAACCTTAAAGGGGGCGTGTCATTTACCAGTCACGGCGTTGGTTAAAACGACTTATTTTCGTTTGGGTCAACTTTTGCAAAGCTCGGTGGACAAGCTCTTACCTGGATGCAAAACAGACTATTTACCACCTAAGACTAGTTGATTACAGAAAAAAGTGCTGCATCAAATGGGATGTTAGTTACAAATTTTCTCGCACCCGGTGAATTGTTTCGTGTAACCGAAATGCCACCGCTATAGGGATTGGAGCTAACTCTTTCAGAGTTAATCTGCAGAGAGGTGGTGCGATTGTGGTTCTTTCAAGCACTCAATATCCTCTCATGTCATTGCTGCTTGCTCACATTCGCATTTGGACTACAAAATTATGTTGATCTCGTATACCAACTTTCCAAGTATTCAAGGTATATGAATTTGAGTTTCCGCCCATAGGAAACGAAAGAGACCCAAATGAGATTCAAACTTGGCTTACAATTGTATCAGATCCATTGCTATTGAGGGACTCAGGTCGTCCCAAAATCTACTAAATACATTGTGATATGGATATTCGGGAGAAGTCAACAGAACACAAAACGATGGGCATTGTAGAAACATCGGGCATATAGAAAAAATGTCCAGCTCTGTTATCATCATATAAACGTTAACTCTTATTAATTAATATTGTATTTAAATGAATGTTTTTGTTTCTAATAATTTAATGTTATTGCATTTATATAATTTGTCAATGTATGTACACCTAATAATTTTTTTAACTTTTAATACATAATATTTTTAATATTTTATTTAATATAATAATTATATTATTAGTTATAATTTTTTTAAAATATATAATAATATTCCACCTTCTAAGTAGAGAAAAAGATTAATTAAACAAATTAAAGTTATTAAAAAATGTATACGATGACACATTTCTGTTCTGATTGGAGGATTAAATTAAATTAAATTTCAATAAGATTAATTTCATAAAATATGTAAGTCTTGAAGATTAAATATGTAATTATACTAATTTTAACTTATGCATCAATATTTCGTTAAATATTGATAAGAGATGACTAGATTGATAACATTTAAATATTAACTGATAAAATTAATAGATCGATAATTAAATCAAAATAATAATATAACCATATGTGTAATATTATAATTTCATACATTTTCCTATAACTACAATAAAGTCAAAACTGGTTTTCATATATTGTTATATCATTAATGTAGATAATTCACTCCACCTTTAACACCATTAACAAAATACATTTGATAATTCTTACATTATATCGAAACACTTTACATAATATATATTATTTATAATAAATAATAATAAATATTTATTATTAAACAAAATATGTGGCAGTCGAGCTGGCGAAAGGCGCGTCCCCGAGGATGCGCCTTACACACGTGTCATCCAACTCAGCGAAAACACGGGTAAAGCAAAATATTATAATTTAATCTTCAAACTAATAATATCATTTTAAACAAGTCTTTAATTTGCAGTCTTTATTTCAAACAAGTTAATCTACAATATCGTATGAACAATTTAAATCTAACATGTTAGAAATGATCTTAACAAATTTTAATGATAATGATTATTTTTTACATGATAGTTCCAAACTATTCATATAATATGTGCTTATGTATTTAAAATTTGATGTAATAATATTAAGGAAAAGGGTCACTTTTACCCCAGTAGTAGACTCAATTTATCATTTTCGCCCCTATAATATTTTCGTATCAATTTAGCCCTCAAAGTTGTTCAATCACATCATTTTATACCCTTCCCCTCACTTGAAATCTTAAATTGAGGGTTTTAAAATAGAGATTAAGGTTTAAGGTTTATAGGTTATGGGGTTATAGTTAAGGGTTATCAATTTAAGGTTTTAAATTAAGGATATGATATAGAATGATGCAATTAAACAATTTTAAAGGTTAAATTAATACGAAAAATAAAATAGGAGTAAAAATGATAATTTGGATCTACTACATAGACAAGTGACCATTAATCCAAAATTTAAATATGCTTTACGTTAAACTTGAATTGACATTTAATAGTTGAAAACTAACATAATGACGTCTTCAAATGATATTGATAGGTTGAAACTAATTTAGAATGTTTCAAAGTTCAGGAATTATTACAAAAGCTGGGAATAGTTTGGGGACTGATGCAATTAACTCCGAAAGGGCAAAAAAAAGTAATATTAGAAAAGAAAGAGCGCAGAAAAAAAACTATAAAACTGGCTCCGAGTTTTCTTTGCATAGACAACAATGTTAGTGTTTACAAACCCCTAGCTAATAAAACCAATAATCAGTGATTATAATATTAATATATTCAATGTAGCATAAATTAGTCTTAATTACCATATCCATTAACAAATATTTATATACCAATAATTAATTTTATAACATTAATTAAAGCTATAACACTAATTATTTATAATTAATGTATTTTTATAAAATAAATATAATTATCTTCAACGTAACTATAAACTTTATTTTTTATTTTTTTGAATGGCTAAAGCAGCAACGTCTTAAAAAATTACTAATATTTACCGTTAAATATATGGGCTAACACCAATAGATCAAAAACCATTGGCTCAAAAAGGCCCAATCCCACTCCTCTTCACAGGTTACTACATCACGAACACGATTTTTTTTAAATAAACATGATTTGTTTCCGAGTAATGCAACACAAAAACCATTGGCTCAAAAAGGCCCAATCCCACTCCTCTTCACAGGTTACTACATCACGAACACGATTTTTTTTAAATAAACATGATTTGTTTCCGAGTAATGCAACACCTAAACACTTTATTTTAATTTAATATAATAATTAACAAAGAATAATTTCGGCCTTTGACCAATATCTAACAAAAAAAATTCACTCTTAACGCAATCACAAACATAAATATAAATATGCAAACAAAGAAAGCATGTCAAAAGCTCGTGCAAGAGCAGAAAATAAATGAAGTGCCCAAATACCAAATTACATCACAATTCATTAGGTTGTAAGGGCAAGCTTTAATGACAGATGCAATAACAAAAACAAGAAAGAACAAAAAATCGTAAGCACATAGCCCCAGGTCGTAAATAGACAATATATATAGTACTAAACGGGGAACTGTATTCTACTTTTCAGACGAGAAATAAAAACATGAACACTACAACTAGTAACCATCAAACAAAATCACAAAGACAAATATGAGCGTCAGTTACAAGGCAAACAACCATGCGATACAAAATAATAGACGCTTCTAATTTCTAAAACCCTCAATAAAGCTTGTTATTTATTGACTATTATTATTATCATCTCAATTTATATAAAAATGAATTGTTCAATGCTTTAATCAACAAATGAATCAAACACAATGTCATCATCATAATAATAATACCAGCGTGCATGATGAAGTGTTGTGGTTCAAAGTTATATAATAAAATACTATAGGGATAAAAAGGATTTTTTTTCCCAAGCCATTCTTCAACTTTAAAATCAAGAGTAATATAAAACAGTGTGCGTATATATAGCAATAGGTAAATCTTCCACCATCTACAACTATGGATGTCTCAAATGTCAAAAGGAACTAACGGGATTTAGAGGTACATTTCGCCCTTTAGATGACATGAATGCCCATCTAAAAGGAATAACATGGAAGCATCAAACGCATTAACATGATAAGATTATGATCAAACAACTATCACCAACCTACATTGATTATGCTATATCTCCTCCCTCGATCTTTCCTTCCTTCCTAGTCATCATCTTCTTCCTGAATTATTAAAAAAACATTTTAATAACAACCAAGATCAGTAACAAAAAAAAATTATTGAAACTCACCTCTCCGCTGCTCTCTTCATCATCCTCATCATTCACCTCGGACTTTGACTTCTCAGACTCCGCATCTTCTTCTTCTTCTTCTTCTTCTTCTTCTTCTTGGGGACCTTCAGCCTGTAGTCATCCCAAAAAGGGGGGAACGTTTATGAACTATTAACAACTCTAAACAGAAACTTCAAGATCGAGAGAAAACCCTAAAAACAACTAATTTGGAAATATATTGGAAATACCTGTCTCTTATTGTAGGCTTTCATGTTCTTTTCATACTCAGCCTTTCGCTTCTCTGCCTTTGCTATATAAGGTGCTTTTTCCTAAATTTTATTGTTATTAAATTATTCAGAAAACATATTTTTATGTTTTGTTATTAACGATGAACACAGTAAAGGAGTACATACAGCATCAGACAAGCTCTTCCATTTATCTCCACCGGCTTTGCCGACCTAATTTTAACCACACTAGAAATATAAGAAAGCTACGTCTTCAAAAAGAAGAAATAAAAAATATATTTCATACTTACAGCAGCAACAGATTTGTTTTTAGGGTGTTCCTTTTTGTATTGCACACGGAACTCCTCCCTAAAGATCCAGATGTCAATATTACCGAATTAGATAAGGATATAATCTTAAGTCAACGAAGTAATTATTTGAAGGTTGAAATTAGCTTTGACCCGAAGAAGAATCATTCAATTCACCTCTTCAATTGTGGTTTACACGAAGAATATAAACGCCAGAGCTTTCCATGACCAAAAAAATATAAAGAAAAGCCCAACATATACAGGAGAGAATTGTGAAAGATTACATGAAAACGAAGAAGGCGCTAGCAGGTCTCTTTGGCTTGTTTGGATCCTTAGCTGCCTTGCCCGCTTTCTTTCCAGCTTTGGCGGTTGATTTCTTGTTCACTGCGAGCCTATCAACGAATCAGAGAATAAAGTCAACCGACAAGAAACGTAAAGCCCTCATCTAGATCTGAGATCTCAGAACAATCCATATGAATAAGGTAAAGAGAAGAAAAAAAGAACCTGCCACTCTTAGCATCTGACTTGGATTTACCTCCCTTCATGTTGAATTCTGCAATTAAGATAGAAGATCAATAGAGAAAAACGAAAATCGATAGGAAAAAGGGAAGATTCGTGGGAAAATTATGAAAATTAATGAAGGTCGAGGGGAAATACCTGTCGGTAAGGTAGAGTTAGGGATGAGGGGAGATAGAAGGAAAACTAGATATAGAAAGGCGAGAAGGAGATAAAGAGAGATTAAGTTGCAAATTAAAGTTTAATTGCGCTGGAAATGAAAATTAGAGGATGGGCTGAGGACGTTGCGCATTAACCATTGAGCATTGGGCTAAAATTTAAGATTCCATTCAACGGAACTGGACTGGACTGGACTGGACTGGACTGGACTGGACTAGATAGGGCGTCCTTTTTTCACCGTGCATCCAGTACCGCTCTTAAAGTTCGTTTGGATAAACATTAAGAATAATTTTATTCTTAAAATTCATTAGTAAGATTAGATAACATACCCGTGAGATTAAAATCAATGATAGAATACGTATCTAGATTACTTGACACAGTAATGGTGAGATCAATAACTATTGTGAATATTAAATTAAAATATTAAAAAATATGTCTACCAAAAAAATAATTCATTATATATACTTCATAGATAATAAGAAATTATTCGAATTACTTTCATGTCAATTAATAATTTTATTATTAGTAATAAATAATATCAAATAATATTGTGTACTTCAACGTGCCGCACCGTTAATGTTTCAAATACGAAATAACTTACGTGAAAAGTATCATATTCTAAGATTCGATCTCATTGAAGTCAACTCTATATAATCAACAAGAGAGAATCCTTGTAAAATTCATAAAGATATTTGAAGCCGATCAGTCATTAATGTTACCTAAGCTTCATAACTTGGACTGGGTTATGGTAAGTCCATAATTGCAGGCAGCTATATCTACCAGGCTCAAAATACTCTATTCATCAAAATAGATATAAAATAAAATAGAAATTAGGTTTGGAATGAGAGTCTGTGATTCAGAGCTCAAAGCATTTCTGTGTCTAACCTTGGATTTTGTAGTCCTCCATCTTCCCAAATCCGACTGGTTGGGGGAATATGCAAACTTATCAATGAAATTTAAACTGGCAGTCCTCTTCGTGCTTGAGCCATTAACCTGCAACACACCCAATGTTAATTTTAGCAAAGAATTCCAAAATTTGGACAGCATGCAATCATTAAGCCCAGTATTATAACTTAGCTTGTCCTTCGCTGCCTGGTCCTCTGCTGCTTCAGAATTTCTAATTACCACACTTCCATGGTTAAGCATTATCTGCAGATGAAAATATTTCAGAAGAGCGTTTTAAAAATATAAAGAAGGATTAAACAGTACGAAGAATCAGAAAAATAAAAAGTTGTGACGTTAAGGTATTAATAACCTTACCTTGTTAAGGAACTGCACATTTTTTCCATCTGCTGCTTTGATTTGCACGCCAAGACAATTGTTAGGGTTGCTGCAGAAGGGGCAAAAGACCTTTTGGAATACACACCCATCTTCTTCACGCCATATGCCCTGCTCTCTGTCAACTTCGAGAGTTCCACTGTAGAATCTTGGATCAACTGATGAAATGTCAGTTATGATAATTGGTACAGTTGACAGCGTATTTGAATCGCAAGAAACTAATTTCTCTTTGAAAAGTGATAACAGGTAGACTTTTGAAGACACGGTCAACGAGAAACTGAGATACAAATGATTTTCAGGGCGGCCTAAAGGGCTTTTGCAGAGTAAACAGGAAATTTGTAGTCTTTTATCCATAACAGGACAAGAGAAATTAGTATTATCAGTTGCCAATGGCTGTGGAACATTTGACTCCTTCGGATAATCGTTTTCAGCTGCGCTAGTTTCAAAACCAAATTCAATCCTGCGAAGCATATCTCCATTGGCTAGTCCCTCAAAATTCATGGAACCTGGAATTTGAGCAGGAGTAACACTGTCTTCTTCATCAGCAAGGTTAATGAAAGTTGAAGCTATGGATTTCCTCCTTTTCTGGATATATGAACAAACACTAAGATTCAAAGGTGATTCATTTCTTGATATCTCCCCAGCTGTGTTCTGATTCGCATCTTTTTCGGGGGTGAATATTGTCTTGGATCCACAAACGGAAGGAACTTCATCAGGCTTGTTGACATTGGATGAAACAAAAATTGATCCGGAGACTTAGTTGAGGCCTGAATTATTGTTGAACCACAGCTACCATCCTTAGTTAAGGAACCTGGACTAGCTAAAGAAATGCTAGTATTCACAAATGGTGTTTCCTGGACCATGATTGCATCTCGATCTTCATTGGAAAAGGTCATAGATGAAGCCTCAAAACTCCTGCAAAAAGATGCTTCCATGCCAATAATACCAGTTTGATGTTTCAAATTCTAAAAAAAAATGGTTACGTACTGTTAGATAAGTAATCTGTAATAATATTGAACAGCGTCCAAAAGCAAATGATCAAACAACACAGATTTCCTAAACATGATGCAGCCAGTATTGCTATACAGTTATTTGCCAGTGTAGTAGCATGCGCAAGCATATAGTTTTCTATCATTACATTTCAACTTCAAAGTACAGAATAGGCCTCAGACATTTACCGTGAATCTTTTGGAGAGCTGCATTCCAGATCAATACATTCATTGCAGGTCTTCTCATCCTTACCGGCTTGCATTTTTGTCTGAGCTGCAGCATTGCTTTGAAGCTTCATTTGAGAAGTGATATCATATTTTGCTAAAGAAGATAGTTGCTGTCCACAATGAATAGACGGGTTAAGTTTCAAATTTCTCTTTCAGGAAATTTGCAGCTTTGATCCTTAGAAGGGAAATTTTTCATTGAAGTTATTCAAGTTGAGGTTACAAACCTGGTTTTTTACAACCAAGTCCTGCAAACAGTTGAAGCCAGAGAAAAGACTTTATGTAACACCATTAAACCATAGTCCATGCACAAGAAAAACAGTTTAAAAAAATAAAGGAACATATACTAATAAAGGAACTGAGAAAGATCTTGACTTCACTGAAAAAGGATCTCAGCTCATCTAATGACTTCTCAAAACTTCCATACATTCTAATGGATGGCCTTAGCCACTTTGAAATATATGCTCTATTCTTTTCATCCTGAAAACGCCAATCTGATCACACCCAAAAAAAAATTCCATTTAAATAAGATTTTTTTTTTTAAAAAAAAGGAAGGATCACAACCCATTTTCTTAATGTTACGAAGAAAACTACCTCGATGCAGCAAAATGTCACAATCCACATTTTAATTAATGATATCAAACCGTCACATTGCTTAACTTTGGTACAAAGGCATGTAATAGAAGACTCTGAGGAAGCACAAGCTACCTAATAGTAACATCAGAGCTCATTTCTAGGGCATTGCTTCATGTATTTAGCATACAAGTTCGATGCTTCAATACAATGAAGCAGAGCTGACGAAAAAATCACTAGAACAAGAAATTGGAAATTATCAGAAGATAAAGATTTTCCCCCTTTGCCCTGCTCAACTCATCCTTGCCAAAAATTGCACAAAAGAAACTATAAAGCAGTTAGACTTAACCCAAAACCAACTGGTTATTTCTATGATACAGCATTCCTTGAAGCAGCAATAACCAGATGCTTATGCATCTCACTAGAGGCACAATAAAAATACTCTGTTTCATATAACAGATTGTCCTAGTCCACGTCCTAACTCCTAAGGAATAGAACGTTGCTCACTTCCAAATCTGCTCACGTACCAGACAAATAGCTTTCTGGATACATTTCTTGACTCGAGACCCAGTTTTGAAAGGCCCTGGATGTATAAACCTAATAAACTAGTGAAGTATCACAAACCAATGGCACCAGAGGTAATTTGGGTAAGGGAACATTGTTATAATATTTAGACATTGTCCACAAAGCTGTTCCCTTATCTTTTCATTTGATAGTAATCTGTGTCATGTTAGAATCTTATTTTCAGAAACTTCTGTCATAACTAAAACCAAATTCAAAACCATTACCTAACAGGATAATGGCTCCATAATCCCATCTATGACGTATACAGCGCCCTGCATGGTAAAAAGTAGTTATCGAATAATACCACTGGAGTACTGAGAGGTTTTTTCTTTTTCATTTTTGTTCAAGGGGAGATTTAGGAAGAATACATGCTTAAATAAATAATTGCCTATCTGTATATAATCAAAATAACATGCAAATACTTGGACCCGTTGCATTATCAAATCCTGTCACAAATAGATAAACCTTGAGGCTGGAAGTTTACAAGGAATACCAAGAGCTTGATTTAGAGATCTGAAGGCTTGCTGGCAGTACCAGTCACTTCCACTCAGAAGGTTTTTAGATGATCTGTAAGTGTTATTATATTTCTTCTTTAATGCAATCTGTTTATCATTTCTGCAAAGTTGATAGGAGTCAGAAATCAAGAAAATGACATTTTTGTTGGAAAACATTATAGACATGTGAGAATACGTAAATATTCAGAAAGGGAATGCCAACAGCTATCTTAGATAGTCAAGAACTCACAATTAGTTAACAATCATACAACAAGATATGCCTTTGTGCTTTTTTAAATGCATAAGCAAACATAAGATAATCAGAAGGAAAGAACACAGCTGACAAGTGGCCAGAAAGCATCAAGGTAATTACTGAAATTTAGGAAAAGGACCAAAACATCAAAGGGATCAAAAGGATACAACCACCCTAGCATTATCATCAGAAAAATCTATGCCTTCTGACACCTGCAAAGAAAATATGGAAACAACTTTTAACGAACCACAAAAATGTATTTCCACCAGTAAGTGTCGTAAGACATGAAACGTTAAATATTATGTTTACACTAAAACCAAGCCTATAGGAGAAATATAAAGTGGTGACAATTGGATTTCCCTTTCCCCAACAAGACAATGAAACCAATCCCTGAACAGTCGAGGTTTGACGAGGAAAAGTGCAATGCAAACCTTTCCACGGAAAACTGCAAGAAAAGCTCCTCCTCCATGGTTAGTAACTTTTGCAGGCTCACTCACATTGTCATCTGTTCTTTTTGTCCTTCTCTTTCTCTGAAGAAAAGGTTTCTTTCCTCGAGAAACTGAATCATAATAACTTTTCAGAACAGTCTCAAATTCTTCCTGATTACCCCCTCTTGGCTCTGCACAGACTCCACAAGATCAGATTTCCAATCCAATATGAGATGTCGTGCATATCAGGTCATCTCCAACATCAGTACAAGAGGGCAGGAAAATATGCATGGAAACAAAGT